GTGATTTTTTTAATTAAATAACATTACGTTTTTAAAATGCCGTAGTAGCTCAAAGTACGAGATCCGGCTGCAGGATTAGTGCGCTCATAGGTTGTTTTATAAAAACCGAATTCTTATGTATATTTATACTTAGGAGAATGTATATCTACCAAGGTACCTATCACAATTTGGCCGCTAGTATTTTTAATTAAATTATTTTTAATTGATTTTTGGGAAAACCGAAATGTTTTCAATCACTTGTTATTTAAATAAAATATCGTCGACATCACGGCAATTTAAATAAAGATTTTAAAAAATCCCGGGTGCCGTGGCTCACCTGGCCGCACTTCTTCGTAGCCAGGTGTAAACAGGTATGATTTCGATACATTTATACGTTCATAACGTACATTTATTAATTATATCAAATTGAAGCTAATTTTTTTTCTATTAATTATTATCGTACATGGGTGCCTAGTTAAATCTGGCCGCAAATAAGGGTAACCTGCTGTTATACATTAACTCTCTTTCACTCTACCCTAAATATTTACTAGACTTTTAAATAAATATCACTTGTACCACGCACATCAGGCTTGAAGCTCGACTAATAAAATAATAAACCTACTCTAGGGACGCCAAATTGTCTGATTATAGCAACACTAAGTTTAGTCATGACGTTTGACACATCATTCATAGAGTCCATTCCGTCAGACTTTCCGACAAATACTTCGTTATATTGTAAATAACTTTTCTTTCTTGCTTTTAATAGTTTTCGGCATATTAACACACTTATAACACACAATATCTAATAATTAGACACATAGTCGAATGGATATGACCACTGAAAGATGACGATAATGACAGTGACACATTTTAAAGATTGTTGCCATTTGAAAAAATTACTTCGAAACTTTTAATTGAAATACGTTCTTTATTTTTTTATTTGAGGGTAAACCGTATTGTACATAAATGTTTGGCATTAAACACTTTTTCTTGGAATATCTTTTTCGTCAATTTTACAATGTCTTTATTAGTTCGAAACAAAATAAATTCATAAAAATCAGTCCAGCCTTTATCGAGTTATGTGTTCAAAAAAACTTTTTACATGCAAATCAAATCAAAATCATTTATTCATTTAGGTAACACAGTGTACACTGTGAATGTCAAAAAAATACATATTAAATGCTTCTAATTGTACATTTACTGCCAGTTCTCAAATCAAGGGCGTAGAACAAAAAAGAAGAACTGGCAATAAACTCTCCGCCACTCTTTTTAATCGCCAAGTTTTTTGTTTTTCACAATGTTTGTAAGGAGCTGGAACCATTACACCATGTTCCATATGACATATTAACATTGTAGGTTATAAAAAGTTGTTTACATTTGCGTCACGCTTGCGGTTCCTACTATCTATTCTGTGAATACCGTGATGTCTACATTTAAGGTTTATGTTATTATTACCTACATACCTCTTGCCTCATATCGCTCTGTTTAATTTTCCGTTGCCAGATCGTTATTACGAAACATTAAACATCTTTATAGCTATGGAAATTGTTGAAATATTAGTTGTTAGAGTCTGGCTAATGAAAGAAGAAAAAGAAATGGTATCCCTAAAAGTTTGATCTATTTTTTGGATTAAACTTACTTGATACTTGATTTTACTTTATTATTATTTACATTGATAGTAACTGTATTTCTGTGAAATTAAATATATATTTAGTATTTTACTATTTATACTTAAAATGACTAGCATTGAATGGAAAACTAAAACTATATTTATTATAAAACTCAACTTTATTCGGAATAATCAATTCCTGCGAAAGAAATCAAATATTATATCAAATAAAACAAAGTTTAGGCTATTATACCTGTTAACTATTCGGAAAAAATATATAACAGAAATAAAAATGAGTAATTGCATGAAGTATCAAGACAATAAATCATACTAACCTAAGAAATTCAATGACATTCTGAGTTGCCATCCGAAAGTCTTCAAATAATTTAATTATCTTCTTTCATTAGCCAGAATCTAGTTGTACTATTGAAGACGGCAGCTATTTCCCACGGAATAAGATAAAACAGAGGGTTTTAATAATAATAAAAGTTATTCCATTTACAACACAGATCCATTTTAGTAAGTACATCTAAAGATTTTAATACTAACATGAACAACAAATAAAAATAAATTAAATAAATAAAAAGCCGTACAAAGCCGATAAGCGTACGCACAAACAGCCTGACAATTTGCTACTAAGTACAGCCCTGCGATTCTGTAATTCACTTTTCGAACTCACAGAGCGGTTTTCGCATCGGCGCGGTCGCTCTCAAATCAGTCGTGAAGCAGTCATTTTATGATTTGGCATTCTGAAAAGGTGGGAGCTTGCAGTTTATTGTTTATCGACCTGTATTAAGTGTATAAGTATTATGAGCGACCGCCGATGCGAAAACCGCTCTGTGAGTTCGAAAAGTGAGTTACAGAATCGCAGGGCAGTCATCTATTGTAATGAGGTTACTCTTCCGAAGTCATCAGGAGCCTGGTCGTACGAGCCCGAGGCACGACAAAAGCGTGGCAGTCCGAACATTATCACAAAGGCGATAATATTGAACGCACAAGGCAGTACACCCTTAATTATTAAAAAAAATGTGCGTGCCTACAAGTAATTTGCGCACTTGTCTTGAGTAGCCGGGATGACACCTAACCTTGTAAATTTCATCGAAATATTGTCATGACCACTCTAGTTTGACCCTTTAGTGTAGCTAGATGACTCTTGGAGAAACAAATAATAAAAAAAGTGCGCGCGTACACATGTCAGAAGTGAAACTTCTTTGGAAAACGGATTTTTAAGTCTTGTTCATTTTTATACAAATCTAAATCTTTAGATTTCCGAGACTTAGAGGGAGGGAAAAAGGAATATATGTCAGGAATTTAATTGTCATTAAAATATAAAGTGTGGAAAATTAATACAATTTATTAATTTTAATTTTTTTTAAATTTTTTCCTCAACAAAAACGCTGCCCATCTTCGTGACGCTAATATTATTATTATTGCGTGTCATCCGTAAAAATTTTACCCTCATGCGTCTTAGGAAGTTTCACTTCACAATGTATTTTTAATATGTAATGTCTTATCAAAGCTAAAAGACAAATAAGCAACATTAATTACATGGCATCCATGTTTGATTTTTGACGTACACACTATAAAAGTAAATTTATGTACATATATAACTGAAATACTAGGTAAAAACTGGTTGAATCCAAGGCATTTATGTCCCCATATCTAGATAAGATATGCAGCTTACAATTACTCCCCCTTGTAAAGTCGGATAAGTAGTTCCAATTACATTTTACAGCTGTTGTTTTACTTTAACCCATTTTATTGAAAAAAGTGTCGTATTACTAATACACTGTACGTTGAATTGGCACACGATATATTTAGATGACTTCATGATCGTTTACACTGTGTCGATACGATTTATTTAAAGGGCTTAAATATAATCTGTAGTATTTATTAAACACGCACATATACTATATTTACAATATTCTTAACCTACATAGTAATAATAATAAATAAAAATTGATAAAAAGAAAATAAAAACATATTTAAAAAGTTTGGTACCTGTGTCAGTGCACTTAAGTGCAGTTAATTTATCGTGGCCGGTATATATAGTATTGCCCTACGATATCGTGTAAACGTTGTATGCTGGACGTCAGTTACGACACGAGCGCGGATAAATATACTTCGCACCTTTCTTTGAACTAGCTAGTATTTCAGTTATTTAGGTCTGTTTTATTTTAGATTTTATCGCTTTATATAATATGTTATTAACTAATGCTGACCACGCAACGGAATGCAAAAGGGACATCGTCTCCTGGGATACACCCGTGTACTCTATGATGCGTGGTGTGATGTCCCAAATATCCTCTGGAGTTGCGGGGAATGCACAAAAGCATTTATTTTTCATTAAAATTAATAAGGGCACCGCAACCGTGCTGCAAGTATGATTAAATACTTCATGGGTTTTGCATGTGTTAGAGAGAAAGATAATTTGATTTTTCACATATTAATAAACATGTAAACATATTAAGTGTAAACTCTTTATAACGATTTTCAATCGACCGAACATTTTTCATGTTATAGAGAGGTTTTGTTATAGGGAAGGAAGAGAAAAAAAATCAAATTTAACCAATTACAATAATTTATATTTATATAGATAGTGCGTTTGACGTGACGATGGTGCGTTTAGTATCTGGGACTAAAATTCCATACAGGCAATGTAATCTAACAATAATGTCGTCACACGTGTTAATGAAATTAACAATAACAAAAGCGAGAAGGCTGTTATGACCTCAGGTGTCTTTCTTAGAAATTTCGGCACCTCAATACTTTAGTTTTGTAAGCTGATTATAAAAACAATTACACTTAAGTATGTTGTTGATGTCTAAATATGAAAATATTTCTTCGTTATAAAGAATCGATGTTTCGTTAGAAAGAGTATGTATGGGTTTGTGTTAAACTAAACAAATTAACTCATATTTATATTATAGCTAATTTTTCGTTATAACGAAAGACGTTATAAAGAGAATACACTGTATGTATAGTGCGAGTGAGATGACACTCTTGTGGAATTCTGTTTTTAGCAGAAAAAAATACCACTCACCGAATCATACCCGTATAAAAAAAATTTCCTCACAACAAAATCAACCTTTTAGGTTTGGATTTCAGATTTCTGTATCTGTTTCGTGATGATTTTCTTTTTAATACATCAGCCTGACAGGCCTGACAGACGCCGTTGATTTTAAGGCATGTTGGTTTCCTCGCGATGTTTTCTGTCACCGTTCGAGCATTATATACATACATATACATTGCGCACATAGGAAGTCCATTGGCTCCAGCCTATGACCTTGGGGATGAGAGTCCCTCGCTGACTCGCCACTTGCCCAAAACTGCTCCTCCATAATAAATCTTCACAAATCTAACCATTAATAAACTATATCTAAAACACCATTTCTAATTCCAGTAAAACAAAATGGCGACTACAATAGAGGCGTCACAAAGCCTCATCCAATCTGAGTCCAGGGTGACGCACAGTTACCAAGAAGTCCATGTCTCAGAGAGCCGACAAGTCAAGAAGAAGAAGTCCAGCAGACGGCATAAGGAAGAGGGATCCATATCTGTGGTACGAATATTAAGCTAATATACTTGTTTTTTGAAGTGAAAACTTATTTTGCGGCGATGTACACTTTTTTTGGAATGGGTAAAAAATGTTAAACTCGCGTCAGGACACGTGACCTGATCGAAAATTCGTAAGACGGATGGAGAGTAGACAGCTGGCGCGGCGTATTTAATGTAATATAAATTGCCATGTTTGTGTACGATAGCGCAATAAATAAATATTGTATTCTACCACATAAATGATAGTACTTTTATACTGATAATTAAAGCAATTCGTGCAAAATTATTCCCTAACCATTCGAAAATATTAAAAATGTTAAACGTTAATATTCAAGTTTTCTCTTCTGCCGGCACTCCCGGAGTGAAACCCGTAGTTTTTTTTGACATACGGGAGTCATACTTAGCGCTCAGTCTCGACTCGGTAAGGTTAAAATTGAGAAACGGCACTTAGCGCGAAGTCAGACTTCAGTACGTCAAAAATGTTTTGGATACATATGGGAGTCACAGTATAGAGACATTCAAATAATTAATTCAAATATATTCCATTATGGTAGGATATTTCCAAACCGATATGTATGATTTAGGGGCCTTGAAACAAAGAGCTCTGAAACCAAAAGGTAGGCAACACACCTGCTAGCCCCTGGCGGTGCAGGTGTCCATGGGCGGCGGTTGTCACTATATTCAAAGAGCCTTGCCTGCTGTTCCCTAAAAAAAATCTTGCGAATGATTTTTATATTTTCCATACATTGTATGGAACGGCTTTGAATTGTTATAAATATTTTGGCCGACTCCGTTATTATTTATGTTAATTTTACTAATAATTTATCAGCGATACGGATCTAATCGATATTAATTTGTTCCTATAATTTTCTTCGAAACAAGTGCCTTTCTAATATGGGAAAATTATTATGATGTATATTTACTAAACAATGTATAAAGCATTCTACGATGCGTATCTTGGTTACGTATTGATGCATAATTTCAGCGTACGTAGATATGACGAGGTGGCCGAGTGGTTAAGGCGTTGGACTGCTAATCCAATGTGCTCTGCACGCGTGGGTTCGAATCCCATCCTCGTCGATCTTTTTGTTTTTCTTTTTATATTTTTTTTGTAATATACTTTTATCGTAGAACATTTAAGATTGCTTGTTTTTATCATAATGACCAAATATGTTTACTACAAAAATAAAATGTCTAGTAAAGTAGCGGTTAAAGAAACGATTGCTTCCAATGAATAAATATTTCTATACTTATATTTATTATTTTTTATTAATTTATAACAATATAATTTTTTTTTTGACACATTTCTTTTTAAATTGGTAAGAATAAATATTCATTATAAAAATTACTACATTAATTATTCGTGACTCATTTACGCAATATTTTCAAACAATATAGTTTTTTAAATATATGTATTTAGATGTCAAATAATTTATTTATTGAGCTGTATTAGCCTAGTGGTCAAGCATGCATGAATTTTCTTTATATGTATGTGTAAAATTTAATCCTGCATGAACGTACGGCGCATAAGGAATGCATGTTTATTGCCGTTAAATAGGCCCCGTAAATACAATATGTTTTTGACATACAGGAGTCATACTTAGCGCTATGACTCGACCAATAGCAAGCGTTTATTGGGAATGGCACTGAATCTGCGTAATCTATATATATATGTCACCGTAAAATTGTAAACACCGTTAGATTGTAATCTATCGAAGTGAAACCGTCAAATTGTGAAACGGATCGCACCTCGCGCGCTGATTGGTTGAACGGAATATGCCCCGCGCCATCATATTTGTTTGTTAATTCGTTTGTTTTCGAATGTAACTTGTAGGTTTTGATGAATGTAAATTGATGTCGTGTTGAAAGTAACTCACAGCTTTAGAATTAGTTATATGAAATTGTTGGGAAGTAAAATTAATCTGTGATTGACCAAAGAAGTTTGAATGATAACTAAGTTAGTGTTGGAAATGAAATGAAAGAATATTTCATAATTCTATTCTTCACCCGCTCTTATATTTTTCTATAAATAGGCCAAATATCCAAACAGTAGCATTATTTTAAAATTAAAGTTAATTATTATAAATTTCATCTTTTATATTACCAACTACAATTATTTATGTTTCTTTCAGTCAAAAAGCTCTGAAAAGCTTTTCAAAAAGATGAAGGCGTCTGAAGAAAATCCCACTTGTGCCAAATGCTCGAGGCCAGTGTACGCTATGGAGAGGATTAAAGCTGAAAAGAGAGCTTGGCACAAGGAATGCTTCCGATGTGTTCAGTGCAACAAGCAACTTACGTGAGTATTTTAATTTTTTCAGTTATATTTTTGTTTGAGCGCCATCTAGGGGCGCTAATGTAAACGACGAGTATCATGAGTTGATACCCCACCCAAATAACTACGCTCCGAATGTAATGAGTAATTATATGCAAAATATTTTACACTTCACTAATATTATTTTTAACAATTGAATTGGAATATAGGCCTATGGAATTGGGTTTTTGAAAAAAAAATATTGATTTTTTTTTATGTATTTTAAAACTTTATTGTTAATAATATTGATGTTTAATGCAAAAAACTTAAAAAAAATTTGCGAAAAAAAATAGTTTTGTTATAAAACTTATATATGATAATTTCCCCTTATCGAAAAATTTTTTTTTTTTCAAAAACCTAATTATCCTAAAAAATCATAGAAAAATGGCGGTAAAACTTCATTTCAAAGTATAGAATTATTACTTTTTGACTGATTAAATATACAAGTATGCAATTTTCTTTATAACTTGAATAAATACTTTTAAGTTTCTGCGTCTGACATACTTCGTGAACTTATAAAATATCCTCTATTATAATACTCATTACTTTATGACCAGAATGGAGACGTATCAAAGTGACCATACAACATTGTACTGCAAGCCACACTTCAAGCAACTGTTTGAACCGAAGCCGGTTGATGATGATGATGAAACTGACGGTAATTTTATTCATTGAATATATTATACACAGTTTTTGTAATATTAAATACTCATATTTATAATTTTATGCGCGCCATCTAGGGGGGCTGTTGTAAACGACCCAGATTGATACTTGACATTTCAAATAATAATAATAATAATATAGCCTTTAAATTCCGAAACTCTGTCATTTTATATATCTGAACTTTAATATATTTTCACTCCAGTATATCTCGGAGTTCGGTGTGCCTCTTGGCAAAGGCCTCCTCTAACCCTTTCCACTGTTTTCTATCTTTTGCGACTCTTTTTAGTGATTCAGGAGTTCTTAAAGTCCTAATATTGAGGGATGCAATATATATATTATGTTTTTTTGTTAGAGGGTGGTGGTCTGATCTTCCCACGGCGACCAACCGTGGTGGGAAGGCAATTCAAATAATAAGACTACAAATCCTCTTATGAAAAACAAATACAAATAATGTATAAAGATAATGTAACATAAATTTAAACATAGTAGTTTAAATTGTAACAATTAAAAAATTAAATTCGTCGGACGTTTCTTCCTACCGCTAATAGATGGCGACACTATCCATTGCAATTTCCTAAAAGGCGCTGGCAAAGTGACTGCAAAACGAATGATTACCTTGCGTTCATTATTATTTGGTATCGCTTCTCGGCCTTTTGGCTAAGATCAAAGTGTAGTATCTGTTCTTTTCAGCTTAATATCTGAAAGTTCCCGCATAGCGGGACCAGTATATTAAACTGATTTTTGGAAACTGACGGGATGTTCGGGGCTCGCTCCACTCCTGTCACGGGTCGGCCCGGCATTGCAGTGCCGCCGGGATCGGCCCACATAAATAGTATGAATTATGAATAGACATAATATGTAATTAATTAGCATACATAGGCAGTAACAAACTCCTGAAGATTGTTAGTATCAATCATTAGAAGTTTGTTATTCCATTTGTTTTTATATTCTATGTTATATATAATTATATAACCTAGGTTGTCATATCTAAATTCTAATGTATGTACTATACGTAATTAAGTACACTGTACAGTGAGTCCAATTTTCATGAGAGCAACATTTAAAATGTCCTTTTTCCAGTTTCCTCTCATAACACAATTTGAATTAGGGATGCATCGATACGCTTTTTTGCCGATACGATACCGATGCCGATACACTTATAGGAATATCGTCGATACCGATACCAACGCTTATTGAATAAAATTATCTCAAGTTAAGTTAAAGTTTATAATTTTTATTAAAAAAATATATATACAAAAAATAGTCACAAACTTTGAATAATTTAAAAGGTTTTGTTACTAAAATTAAGAATTAAGAGTAATAATTAAATTAAAATAAAATAAATAAACTGTTAATTAATTAAGAATGATAACATTGTTGTAATTCTTTCTGTATTTTATTGAATTTGGTATCGAAAAAATACTACTCGCGATAGCAGTTAAAAGCCAACTAAATGATCTTCAAATCTACGTTCAATAAAGTCTCAATGATCTCCCGCAAGCCATAATATCTAATAACTATGCGCTGGCAAAGATAGTTGACTCGAGTAATAGTTTTGGTCTACTAATCAATCCAACAAGAGTTTTTCGTACTAACTACTAACTGACGACACTGATCGTAAATTATCGTGATTCATGTGCACTTTTTATTTTTCATGTAGACTTTTTTTAGTTTATATGTTATATGTATTTTTGCCCTCCTTTTCATTTAATTATGTTCAATTTTTATATTGTAATGCAACACAGTGTTAATAAATAAATAGTGTTTAGCGAAATGAAATATAATACATAAATAATAATGCTTTGTCCCCAAATTGTTTATTTTTTTATTTATAATAAAACGCGGGGACTTCTCGTTCAATAATAGTCCGTGGCTCGTTTGCAACAAACTAGATCATACAAAATGCGCGTTTACATTATTTTTTTAAAGCGTGAAATTTGAAAAGTATCGGTGAATCGGCAATGTAAATATCGCCGATGCCGATATATCGGCAAACCCAAAGTATCGCCGATATATCGGTATCGGCGTCGGTATCGGATGCATCCCTAATTTGAATAAACTTACATTGTTGAATTTGATTTTCGTGTTTGTGCTGTGGCCACTCTCATCCCGAAAGTCGGCTCTGCACAAGTGGACTTTGTCATTTGTGCGCGTTTAAACGGTATTACTCAAAAACGTCGCCGTGTGTCAGGCACAAAGCTAAGCTCCATCAAGCCGGAACCCGCTTTAGAAAAAACTTGATTTTTCTAAATTTACTTTTATCTACAAACGATGCTAGTAAATGTAGTAAACTTTATTTTTTTGTAGTATCATTAATTGCGCCGAAAAAATAATTAATACCGCGCAAAGCAGGAAATATTACAAATAATTCGATCGGTATTAATTATTTTTTCGGCGCAATTAATGATACTACAAAAAAATAAAGTTTACTACATTTACTAGCATCGTTTGTAGATAAAAGTAAATTTAGAAAAATCAAGTTTTTTCTAAAGCGGGTTCCGGCTTGATGGAGCTACAAAGCTAACCTGCTTGCCTATTAGAAAATTGCAAATGACCACGAAGAAACACAAATCCCAGGACTTAGGTAGCGCCGCTGGTATTTAAGAAAATAATAAAAAATATTGTTACAGCTGCCCCAAGAAAACATCAAATGATAATCTGCGAGAGCAACCCAGTGGAACTTCCACCTGACGTTGTGCGAGGTAAGTCAGAACAACCATTAGTTCTAATAATTTTTTTAATTATCATATGTATTTTGTTGCACCAAAAAAAAACAAACACGTTATACTAATTATTATAATCAATAATGATGCTTATAATTAAAATACCTTAAATTATATAACAAAAGAACATAAGACAAATTCTCACTAAAATTAATTCGCTTAACTCAAATTCAATTATCTAATTATAATTGTTTATTTTTATTTATTTGAACCTGATACATCTAGCACGCGCTTTTATTTAGAAATGAATCAACAAAAGTCTAACTTATGGGTCAGTTTCTATGTATATCAATATAAATTAATCGTAAAATATGTTGCTAAGCGCAAAACTCAGCTCGGCTCGACGGCTGGAGCAATTCGAATATTTTTTATTATATATTCCTTGAACTCTGAGGAACGTTCCTATGGAGTGAAATATTGGGAAAACAAAATAAATAAGTTTTATATAGTACTTTGATTATTATTCCAGAAAAGCGAAGTCTTTGGGGTACTACTACTACTTTGTTGGTACTACTAAAAAGATAGGCGATATGAAGTTCGCGGGGGCAGCTGTTTATAAATTAAGTAATTTAAAAAAAAATAAAAAATAATCTATTTTTTAAAAGTGAAAATCGATTTTTGTATTCGATTTCGAGTTTCAGTTGAACAGTCATTTAAAAATAAATATTATTATACTAACCTAACCTAACCGAATAATAATACATTTTTTGGACAGCTCCGGCGCTCTTCCTCCGCGCCTCCGATTTTTTATATACACTCTGGGTGCTCTGATTCGGTTTTGGGTACTTTTTGAATAATTTCAAAATTTTCGGAACCCTACACTAATTGAAACATGAAGTTAATGTAATGTATGTACATTTGACAAGTAATGGTTAAATTAGGTTTAACTTTAAAATTAACAAATGAGGAAATAATCGATTAATTTCAATTAATTTACCGAGAATGTCACATCTCTTATAACCAATAGAAAAGTAGAAAATGGCCGTTTCACAATTTGACGGTTTCACTTCGATAGATTCCAATCTACCGAATAATAATACGTTAAATTGTAAGCAGTACGCTGAGGTTCACAATCTTTCGACAGTTTACAATCTCGCGAGATAGATTACAATCTAACGGTGTTTACAATTTTACGGTGACATATAGATCCAGTCGCACACGCTAGTCAATCTTTTGTCTCTCCTCTCTTTCTATCACGTGTTTACGCTGTGATTTAAAAAGACAGCACTTTAGTTAACACTCTCTATGGACTGATTTATTTTTATATTCTTTTGTTATAGCTTCAGATAAACCAGACTTGGGTCTAGAAGAGCTGGCATCCCTGGACGTGAAATCTCGTTTCGAGGTGTTCGAGAAGAAAGCACAGCCTGAAGAAAAGCCTACTCTGGAAAAACACCATCGCGAGAAAAGTTCCACTCTACTGTCTAAATTGGCCAAGTAAGTATACATTTAATTTTAGAGGAATCTTCTGCCTTCTCAGAGCAACGTTGGCCTAGTGGCTTTAGCGTGCGGCTTTCGTTCCTGATGTCGTAGCTTCGATCTCCGGCTGTGCACCAATGGACCTGTGCGCATTTAAACCTCCCGGACCGGTCTTCACACTTCCTGGGACACTTTAATAAGTGGTCCCGATGCGGGGGTCCGTAAATGGATTTCCCTATAAAAAAGTGTGGAGAATTTGTATGAAGTTTAGGAATTAGTTTACTTATAATTTTGCAATTTCGGTTGCGCCATTTTGGGGTGGGTGGTACACCATCCTGTGGTCGGCACGGGTTACTTTACGCCTATATGAGAGGTGGTCTTGTGACGTCTTAACGGGTGGGTGGAACCGCCATTCAGTTTGTCTACCTGTGTTTGTGTTGTTTGACAACCACCAAGATTATCTTCATACATAACAACGATTGGCATTGTATCATTGCACCACCACTATGTGGAACCAGCTGTCCCAACTGAATTGCTGTACCAAATCGACTTCAATAAAAGAGCGTACCAATTCTTAATAGGCTTTGAGAATTTCCATGGGCATCGGGTGCCTCCTGCCCGTTCTACAAATACGCCACATAGCCAAAAAGCTAGTTTCCTATTTCATAACAACAGTACATTATAAGTAAAATACTTAAGAACTTTTGAAAACGAAAATAGGTGAAGTTCAATGTATCTGTGAATTAGGTTAATTTCTACACTAACGCCATACAAAAATTGATTTTATTTCTACGGATTAGGGTCGAATTTTATACAAAAGTACTGTTCTATAAATAAATGTACAACATGTGTTACCTTTCTTATTACTAGAGAACTCATAGAGAGTAGACCTATTGGGAATTATGTAAGTTTTTTATTAAATACAGATAAATATCAACTGTTACCGAAGCGCCACTCACGCGAACAATAAATACATTTAATAAATATAATTGCTATTGAAGTATACCTATTTGTTTGTACACTGGCTGAGTTCACAAGAGTGCTATATTGCTAGATTTATAGACATATGTACTTAATTTCTTTTTTAATGTAGGATTATCGGTTCAATGAGTATTATTGTGTCATGTGTGTAATTGATAAGCAATAAATTAGATTTTTAATTATATGTATATTATATAAATAAATATTTCGATTTATGTAATATTTATAAATGAACTACCTGGTTAGTATATATACATAAATTCTTCGACTATAATAAAACTAGAAATACAATTTAATGTAAATGGTCGCTTCTGACAAGGCTGTTGTATATTCTGAGAAGAAATTGTAATAATAATAAATAATGTTTTGGCTTCATTACTTTACTATTGCAGGCTTATATACAAGGAGGTTGTATATATGTTAAACGGTTTGAATTTATATTGAATACTTTTTCCAACATCGCCATCAATTTAGTAGATTATTTTGAAGGGTTAGGGTTCGATTCCCATGAAAAATATTTAGTTTTTGACGGTACAGCAAATCTATGAACCTGGTGGTCTATAATAGTGAAAAAGGTAATATAATATGTTTTTCTTCCAGGTTTAAAGCAAAGGGAATGGACATCGGTGTGTCTGATGAGTACTTAAATGGTGTGGAACCTGAGGATAGCTCCAGCGAAAGAGGGGAAGAGGATGGTAAGGTTATTCAGATCCTCTCAAAATGTTTGAAATTAACATTGACTGAAATTATTAATTAATACGATAGTGTCATGGGCCGTTCAAGTATTACGTAAGCACTGGGCTTTGAATTTCTTATTTGGTGATTACATCACAGTTATTTACTTTTTTTTACACATATTACCCACACATTGTCTATGCTTGAAAACGAAATGTATTTTCCAGGATTCCTACAAAAAAATAATACGTTGAGGGAGGTAATAAATTCAGTAAATCTAAAAAATAATACTTGAACGGACCCAAATTTATATTCACTGCATAAAATATTAGACTCAAAAGTGCCTACACTCTTCGTCAACTTCTTCAGCTTCTGAAACCCCCTCCCCCATTTAACGCGCTGTAAAGATTCCCCCTAGTAGTGACCATTTTTACCTTAAAAACAATTGTGTCATATTAAAAACAATGCTACGTACCCCCTTCCTAAGGCATCGTTACGTTTTACAAGAAGCCCCCCTCTCCCCCAAATTACATAATACTTTCGTTCGGTTCTCGTTACCGTACGTACGCTATATTTTGGCTCATCAATTTTAGATGAAGACTCGGTCCTCAAAAACTCGTACAAGCACAGTGGAAGTCGGGAACAACCAGTTTCGTTTTGTAATATGAGCGAAATAGTGGGTCGCTTCGAGAGCGGACAACACACCAATTCCGAAAGACACAGAGAGCGGAAACAGGAAATACAAAATATTCGGAGCAGGCTGTTTATGGTGGGTATTTAAAATTACTTAAAAATAAAATAAATCTGTGACGCTACAACTTTTAGGTCTGGGCCTCAGATTTCTGTATCTGTTTCATGATCATTTGTTAATCTAATAGGCAAGTAGGTGATCAGCTTCCTGTGCCTGACGCACGTCGTCGACTTTTTGGGTCTAGGGCAAGCCAGTTTCCTCACAATGTTTTTCCTTCACCGTTCGAGCGAATGTTAAATGCGCATATAGAAAGATTGGTACAACGCCAGGGGCGTGTCTAGGTTTATTTTACCCAAACATGTTAATTTATTTTATATATTCCTTATAACCTTTACATAATTTATTTGACTGTTTTGCAGGGTAAACAAGCAAAAATAAAGGAAATGTATGAACAATCCGTGATGCAGAGTGAACAAGGTATGTTACAAGATAAAATTATATCTATACTTATAAAATAAGGGACGTATTATTGTATGTACAAATGAAAAACAAACCTCTTTCATATTTCTTTCACCATTATATGCTACATTATGCTAGGGTTTATGTCTGAATAAATATTTTTTTAATTGATTAAAATCAATTTATCTTACGATAAGTTCATGGAACGGATGTTTTCCTTCACCGTTCGAGCAAATGTTTCATAAAGTCCATTGGTGCACAACCGGGGATCGAACCTACGACCTCACTGAATGCGAACACTGCTCTCTCTAGAATATATCTATAGTGCCACAAAATATTATTTAATTACAAAATAAATAATACAAAAAGCATTTAATGCTGTTTCACTTACATGCTATATATATAGTAATTATGCCATACACTTAATATCAGCAAACGGTTATTTTACAACTTCTAAAAAAAGGCCGGCAACGCACCCACTTAAAATGGGTGTCTATGGGCGTCCTGCAGGGTCGTTTGCCCCCCTATTATATATATAAAAAAACTTGTTCTTCGAGAAAAACCTCCTCAAAAATTTTCCAATCTCGACCACTAGCGGTGCGAATCCACATTGGACTCGTAACCGTTTTTATATCGTCTTCCCATTTTCTTAGCTGCCTCTCTTTCGTTTCCCATAGCGTGGGTACCACTCTGTTATGATTCTTTTCCATTTTCGTTTTCTCACTCTCTCATATGTGTCCATATCCAGTTTGGTTGTCAATATGTTGAGCGCGTCTTTAAACTCATTATTTTAATATCGCTTAATTTTTTTATCTTTCCTTTTTACTCCCGTTGTTCTTCTTTCTATACTGCTTTGACAGATTTTTATTCTATTTCCCAGTTGTTCTGTCAATGCCACGTGGCAAACATGGTAATATTGTAAACTTTTTTCTTTCCCTTCATAGGAACTTCATATAATAGAGAAATATAAAAAATATGTAAAAAAATTATATCTTAGATTCATTATATTACCTACTTTCCGAAGGGTTTTGTCTATAGACAATTTTTTCTTACAAGTGCTAGTTGCACATAGAAAAATCGGGGTTTACACGCACTAATATTTACCTTATTTACAAAAACTAAATCAAATTCTGTTTTATTGTTTCCAGGTGTAACATCATCAGAAAAAATCTCCAAAGAACTGGAGTTGGATGCTGAAAAATCTCGCGCAATCAAGGAGCGCTTTGAGAATGGCGAAGTATACAATGATGAGAATCAAGCTCCTAAAAATCGGGAATTCGAAGATCGGGCCGTTTTTAATGAAGGTTCGAAAGTTTTTAGAGTAATTTGGACTTATTAACAAGTTTTAATGAGACAGACGCGTTAACGTTTATAAATAAAATATACAAATTACTTTAAATGTAAGAAATAGTGATTTTACTAATGTAATTCATTTAATATCGATTTAATTAAAAAAATATATTATTCATTAATTATAAAACGAATCAATTATTAATGATTAACTTTTAAAATAACTTTTACCTAGAAACCTTTGTTTTAGATTTTGTACACCATATATGGATAAACAATATATTTGTGTATATGTGTATATATGTCAAGAAATAAATAAGTCTTTTATTGTATTAAACATTCGAACTTTTTGCTCCAAACTCTTTCGAAGAATTAAGGTATGTTGTTTCTTCTTTTCCAGGAATCGCAAAGAAATCAAGATCTATATTCCTAGAGTTGGACGCGAACGCCAAAACTATGCCGCCACTATCTCCGCCGCCGCAGGATGTGCCGAAACGAAAGGAAATCGTAAGTAAAAATATATTAAGACTCCTATGTGATGCTGTCCATGCCTGATCCATGTTGGCAGGTACTGCATATATAAAAAAATATATAAAGCTATATTGGGTCTCTTTCATCCATGTATGCAATCTTTTGTGTTATAGGCTGTTCATTATAGCTATAAGACGCAGGATATATCATATATCGATCTAAATTCTAAAGGCTTGATTGTATCACGTTTATTCAGAGCTTATTTCTAATAAAGAAAGAAAAAAAAACATTTCTTTGCTTAAAGCATACACACACATATTATGTATATACATATATAAAAGAAATACGATTACAATCTCAAATCAGCCCAACTCAGCTTTAAGTTGCTGTCACCAGCAACACAATGGACCTCTACCATCTTGCAGTGACAGTTAATATACACACAAACCAAAAAAGGGTGCGTGTACTTATGTACGCGCGTAAGAAGTTATACTTCTTTGGCATTATTAAAAATAGTTTTTGATTGCATGCAAATAATTAATTACAATTAAATAATCAAAGACTGGAAAAGGAGTCATTATAGTCAATAAAGTTCAGTTTACATTTGAAAAATTTAATAAATAAATATTTATTATTATTCTCTTACATTAAGTGTAACATAAATTCTATTATTATTCGAATGTTGTTTTTGTATTATGTCCAATGCCGTAGCATCTTCCGTGGGCAACTTCATTCTGTTAATTTTGTGTCACGGTGCGCGCGCATCGTAAAATTTCACTCTCATAAATTTTTCATAATGCGCCTATAGAAGTATAACTTCAAAAATTAACCATTAAAATTATCAAATCAAATTACAAGCAAACAAACAGAAAATAAAATAATGAGACAATAAAACTAACTATTCCCAACCCGAGTGACATTCCAAAAGATAATGTGGACTTACGATTTGATGTATCAAATAAAGCACCTATTTTTGGCCACATTGAGGCGGGTTTAACCGTGCTATTCTCTTGACTTCTTTTTTTTCAGAGTGGTTGTGGTTCACATCGTTCTTTCCCTTGACTTTTATCCGAACCGCTGAATAATCTAAATTGTCTACTGTTTTGGAGTTTATTACTTTAAAGATACTGTTTCAGCCATTCGTACCAAAAGACGTGGTCCGCGCTGCTGATAAACTGGAGGACGTGAAGATTGAGACATCAGATATCTCGGACCGGTTCAAGTTCTTCGAAACGTATCAGCCTGAAGCTAAGCGTAAGGAGTTCCGTATGACTCCACCACGGCAGACCCAGGTATGTCCAGTAGAAGAGTATTATATATTAGTATAGATTACATGTGGTCTGATCTATTTAATAATTAAAAGTTTTTATACTTTTAAAATATTTTTTTTTACAAATTTTATAAGCTTCGTTAAAAAGCAGCAGTGTTGACCTTGTGGCTTCAGCGTGCGACTCTTATCCTCATCATGAGTTCGTAGGTTCGATTCCCGGCTGTGCACCAATGGACTTTCTTTCTATGTGCGCATTTAACCGTCGTTCGAACGGTGAAAAAACCGGCCGGCTTGCCTTACGCCCGAAATGACGACGGCGTGTATCAGGAACAGCAGACTGATCACCTACTTGCCCATTAGAATGACAAATGATGATGAAACAGATACAGAAATCTGAGGCCCAGACCTAAAAAGGTTGTAGCGCTGCTGGTATTTTTTAGTGCTTAAAATTAAAATGGCGTATCGCTCCTGACTTCCTCGTTTCCAGAAATGTCCAATGCTTAGTTTATAAGGAAGTATTTTGTATTTTTTTAGCGACCCAAATCCCCATCCCCCGAAATATACCACGAGCCAAGCGTAGTGCGGAGTGAAGATGCCGTGGCTGACACTAATTTAGCTGCGAGTCGGCACACCGCATCTCGGATGATCTCTGTGTTTAGGGAGATGGAGGATCAGAGACACAAACATGATGAACCACAGGGTAAGGTTAAAATAATGTTTAACTGTTTGTGTTTTGTGTGTTTATTAAGAATTATATTTTTTTTTTAATTTTAAAACTACACTTCAGAAGTTATTTTTTTTCGTGAACTAATTTTCGGAGTAAAAAATATATTTTTTTAAATGAAATTTTAGTTTTTATTGAGTATATTAGCTTAGTTTATGACTAATAAATAAACGAATAAATTAATAAAGATAAATAAAATTTATTCTAAAAAATTTTAGGGTACAAATAAGATTCGTTTTCCTATAGGTCCGAAGCCGTTAAAGCGTTTCACCCCCCCACCACCCGGGGAGAACACCCATACAGGCGACACAACATCCTCGGAAGAGTACAGCGAGGAAGAAGACAGCGAGGACGAAGCTCGCAGGGCGTATTATGAGGCACGTCAGAGGGACGAGGCTCTTCAACAGGTATGAAAGCCAAGTTATTTATTCAGAAGGCAAGAAAAACTTCGTCATAGTCGTAGTATAGTGACGGATTTGACAAATAGTAAACTATACAGAGCAGCCATTTCAAAATAATATATTCATGTTAGTTTTTGTCATAACTTTTTTAATTCATATTCTGTTATTATGAAAATTGGCATACAAGCAAACAAAAGGGTTTATTTGAAAATAATAAAATTAAATTACACAGTTTTCTAGAAAAATCACGTTTCAATCAAATCCGTCACTTTATCGACTGATTAATTTGAAATTAAAAACACATGGATTTTTTTTAATGTAGCCGTAATATTTAGTCAATGTAGTAAATTTTGATAAAAAGTGGATTTTGGATTTTTTTCAAATCCGACATTGTTCTACGATCATAACGAATTATTTGTTGTAATACAAAATTACTTTTACCAAAACCAACTCGCTATTGGAAGTTAGAGTGTGTGAGTGTTCAGAGTTGTCCGGACTAATACCTGTAGCTGATTTCATCATCGGACGTCGAGGCAGAATACAAAATACCATCCGTATCACCTCGACGTCCGCCGTTTCACAACTGAGCGCTTTTTAAGGCAGTTTGGACTTTGTGGAAGAAATTCGCCTTCAAGAAAAGAGCGTACCAATTCTTAAAAGGCCGGCAACACACTCGTCATCCCTCTGGCATTGAGAGGCGTCGGTATTACTTAACATCAGCTGAGCCTGCTGCCAGTTTGTCCCCTGTGCTATAAAAGAGTACCAGACCTGATTTAGTAACAATTGTGATCAAATTAAAACAAAATATGTTTTTAGGCCCAGCAATTAGCTCGTACGAAGAGTTTCCGCGACCGCTTCGAACATTGGTCCGAGAGCGAACCACAGCGTTCCCCCTCCACTCTTATCATAGAGAGGGATCAAGAGGAAGATGGAGACTCCCTCGCCACTGCTAAGAGGTACACACAGTCTCAAGACATTCTAAAATTTACTTTCATTACTTTCAGTTTTATTGAATCTACCATCTAAAGTATCATTCGTCTCTTTCTGCCTAATTGTGCCATCCGTTATAATAATAATAATAATAAAAGCCTTTTATTTCAGATACTTTACATTTACTGTTGAGCAAATAAATAAATAAATACATTTATATTTCTAAATTGTCCTCTAACCTTCTACATTGTCATCCTTAGACCGACTTATTTTTTTACAAATAATGCTTAGAGATTGGAAATTTTCAAAAATGCTTTTGTATTTCTTGTTAATAAAAAAAGTACTTCTAAAATCATATCAGAATTATATTTTAATTTATAAAGTTGGGATCACGAAATTCATATTATATTATTTATACCTTTTATATTATACAGGTTGTATAAAATGTTTTTTTACAGTTTGCGGGATAAGTTTGAAAATATGAAAGTCCAGACGACAACCGTCAACAAGACTTTTACAACGAAAGTTAATAGATTTGTGGTGAGTAGATTATATTTAAGCATTATTTACGGAAGTTCATTGAGTCATACAAAATTTAACTGCACTCCTATCACAGAAAACATTTTAACAATTCAGAAAATTAAAGTTTCCTACGAAGATCTTACTTCAATATCTTATTCAGGTTGTCCCATAAATTTATGAAAAACAATTTTTTTTTTGTTTTTTGAAACCTTTTTAGGAATCTTTTAATGCTCTTTAACACATTTGCCGAAATTGCATAGCTAATTCTTTCACGTTCGGATAGTTGGATATTTGATGACATAATTATTTTCATTGATTTATGGGACGCTGTATATCTTTCAATCATTTAACAGATTGCCTTTCTCAGGATTTAGTAAATCATTATTCTGATTATATAAAATGTTCTGCATCTGTTTCTTAATACGCAAATAGGTGCTTCCTGAGTCGAATCCAAAACAATAATTTTAACATAATGTAGGGATGGGAATTACCTACGCAATATTAGTGAACTAAGCGGTCAAGTATAGATAGTTAAGTCTTATTTACTACTATTTTACTTCATGCTTTGTTTTTTTTTATGTAAATTACCAACCTTGATTGTTTACAGAAATAAATGATTACATTTTTTTTTCAGTGACGCCGTCGCACCATAATATTTATTGCCAAAGCCTTAATATAAACACTTGCCGTGTGAAATAGATAGTCTTTTTAAATATAAGTTCTACTTAACCTATATTGTAAAACCAATGTATTTATTGCTAACAATTCTGTATTAAAATATAATTCTTGGCGTTTTTTAAGAAATTTAGTGGAGGATTTACAAGTTTTCAAGGTATACGCTGTGAAATTGTTGCCGCCCTTGCCTCTACAATTGTCATGTGCTAGATACAACCAACTTCCAGATTACTAGATTATTTTACAATCCAACAATTCCGTTGAAATTGCACACAAACCATCCAGTTCGCAATCTCTAACCAGAACTGACATGTATGTATAGGGGAAGAGGGAAATACATTTTCTGCAATTTCGCTCTTTTGACTCAGAGGTCGATTATTGGGCGGCGAACTAGCTATTTTACTCTAGAATATGGAAGTTGCTACACCGAATGTGCAGTGACAAGTGAGAGGAGAAAGTCATCGCCAAAATTTGTCGCAGACTTCTATCTGTAAAACATCATGCAGAAATCTTGAGGTAGCAAAAAAATCTGTTCCCGAATCTGGCGCCCTAGGCTCCAGCCTACTCAGCCTGCTGGTAAATCCGCCACTGTATAAACGTACGGAGTAAACACCTTGGTGCCATTTAATCTTATTTATAGTTTAATATATGCACATTATTATTGTCAATTTATGGTACTCTGAACCTATGTTATTCCATATATTGGTCTATAGTTAGTTGATTATTGAGATTATAATTTAACCATTAATAAGTTTGCAATTTAGTACTGAATTTAAATGTATATTAAATTTTTCGCATTTGACTGATATCATCGTAATTGTACTTAAATTATTTGGGGTTTGATTACAATTTTGTAAGATTTTTTAAATAAAAGTATTTAAATCATACGCATTTTATTTATCCGTTTTTCGGTTCGACACTGAACTCATCAAGAAATCCTATCCTATTGAGCTAATTGAATCGTAAATCATTTACTGTGTAGGAAGGAAGAATTTTCATCCCACCTAAAGGGAAGATCAACTTTTTTTTAATGGAATCTCGTTGTTGGCTTTAAGGGCCTTGACTGCCCAGCTCGGGCTGTTTTGGCGAGCGTAGCTCGGCCGGAAGCCCCAATAGCTAAATTCGAGAAGTTATATATATCCTTAGCAGGAAACTGTTAGCGCGTTACAGTATATGGCTTCATCATAGTCATACTGCTGTAGATTGTCGCTACAACCCTGAATTAGGTAAAATATTTTTAAATAGGGGTAATTATGAATAAAGTATGAAATTATATGTTTAATGTTAACTTTTAAATGTCGAAATTAGTATTTTCTATGCGAGAAACGAAGTGAGACCTTTTACTCATTGTATGCACTTACTGTTCTGTATTAAAAAGTTTTAGACCTTTACGCTCTGACGATTTTCAGAAAGGTTTAAGGTAAATAAAAAAAACACCGAATCTATCATAAATCTATTTATTATTTTCAAAAAATATATGTACGAGAAACAATAAATAATTATTTAACGTATAGACGTTTTTTAATCACATTTGAGTGACATCAGCACGTGTCACTTATCCCATCGCCATATTTAACTAAATCGGAAATATCCGTTAGTTAAATAATGGAACCGAATGTCAGGCCTTATTTAAGTTAACAATTTTAACTCAAACGTGCAAATGAATTTAAAAATAGCAACAAAAATACAATAATTTTGATTGGATTTTAATTAAAAATTTAAATAAATTTAAACTATACTGTATAGTAATTTTCATAAGGATAATCCAGAAAATAACCAATTACGAATGAGTTTTGTATTATACAGTTTAATTTAGTATTACTGTAATGTCCAACGAAAATGAAAATTCTCTCAAAACGACAAATGATAGGTCATCATATATTTAAAATCATCTTGACCAGATATAAATGCGTTTAATGACCACAATTTTTTATGTGCATGGTCAGTTAGATAAATTCACATTAAATCGTGATTAGACGCGATTAATTCCAGACAAAATGTTTTAAATCTGTAATAGTACAGAAGATAATGCCTTACATAAACAGCCCCATCTCAGATAATCCTCTTCACGAAGAGAACTAAAGCCTAAAACGGCACCTTTAGAGATAGAGACGTAGGCAATATTTTCAAATAGTTTACTAAAAATCTTTAACTGTACAAGGTAAACTAATACAAAATGTATGAATTGCCAGAAATGTAACTTTTATCTATGGGCCAAGTGTGAGTTTTATTACGTCACTGAAATGTCATTTATCAAAAACTCTAGGATAAAATGAAACTGACAGACAACGGACGTATACATTAAGCTGCCACTGTCATTATGTTATAAATTGCTCCGACAATTTCCCTTTATCTATCGAAGTCGTAGATTATAAATCTCGCACAATATAGATAACTTTGAAAATCTTCAAGCATTTTAATAATTGTTCCTTTTCTTAAAACTCACACAAGACCCTATAAAGTCAAAAACTTTTAATTCATATTATTATGATATTGAAAAACTATCCGATTTAGAATTATTTACTGGAGTTCACTGGCAAGCTGTGATTTTCCAAATAATACTATGGATATTAAGGTAGTCCTAGCAAACATTAACATAATAAATAAATTATTAAAAAATCACAAAAACATTTAACCCTTAGAATACTTAGTGCAATCTTTAGAATTATGCGTGAATTTAATTTTCATCTTCTTAAATTTATATCGTCTTCGTTAAAACTCTTTTAATCACATTCATAGCGCAGTTTTAGGTAAAGAAATTGACAATATGGAGATATATACAAACTATTTTCATATATATTCAAAAAGGCCTTATAAAAGGCAAAAAATGAAAAGGCCCAAAAGCATGCTTTAACAATACATTTAGTAATGTTTCATTGAATTTTCAATTTCTAAATAATCAAACAATTTTGTAATGGTAAGTCCTATATACTATTATGGTCACAAGTTCCAGATATTAGTTTAAATAGAAAAAAAACAGTTGTAAATAGCACTTATAAAAAATCTAAGACACAGGCAACTGAGTTTGATAAGTTTAAAAAAAAAAATTGGACCATCAACAATTTCTCGGTAGTGTCTATCACATTGTAGTAATACAAGCAAAGAAATGTTTTAAAGAAAACGGTATCTATTAAGGCCGATTTTTATAATATCAATAAAATTATAATTGACAAAGCTCAAGACAACAAATTTTAAATTTTTCACTCAGCCAGTGTTTTAATACAAAATTCAATTTTTTGTTTCGGATGACTTGGAAGTTTTAGGTCCTACAAAATTTTAATCTATACAATATCTTTTAAAAAGGGATAATCACCTAATGTAACTTCATATTGCAGACCCTGTCCCTCAAAATATGTCATCTAACAGACTTAAGACCTAGCAACTAATGTCATATAGGCATCTGACAGAGATAATACTACTCATTCTGATATGCATTTCAAATAATGTGTGCAATAATTGTAAGTTAGCCAAATTATGTTTGTGTTCTGTATAAAATGGACTTCCAATAACCATTTTAACATTCAATTAGTTATACACTTCACTGATTTAACAGGAATAATACACCTGAGCCAGTCTTATACAGGTTTTTAATTAATCGAAAACCAGCCATTTCATTAAAATGTCTCTTAGAAAATTATTTTGATCTTTCTTATGTATGAAAAACTAAATGATAACTAATATGTGAACAATAATAATATTAAAGAGTGAATATACGCTATAAACATTTCAATTCCATATGCAATAGTTGATTTATTCAGAAATTGTACCTGGAGTTATTAAGTATACAATACTTAATAACTCCAGTCAAAAAAATCTTTGTTTTTAATTCATTTTATTATTATTAACTATTAATTACTTAAGATGTCATGTAGAACATGGTGTAATGGTTGCAGCTCCTGACAAACATTGTGTAAAACAAAAAACTTGGTGATTAAAAGAGTGGCAGAGAGTTTATTGCCAGCTCTTCTTTTCCGTTCTACGCCCTTTGGGAACTGGCAGTAAATGTAAAATTAGAAGCATTTAATATGTATTTCTTTTTTTTTTACGTTCATAAGTGTACATTGTGTTACCTATATGAATAAATGATTTTGAAAAGGCTAAAAGTTATTTTAATGGTGTTTATGCTCTTCAAATCGAATTTTATATCATAACTAGCACTATATGAAGCTGATTAGGTGATCATAACTTTCTTTTCATCATGCCTTTGTTTACTTATGAATCAACAGACAGGTAACTTATTTGCAAGTGTTAAAGTTTTATTTTGAGCTTTCTCAATTATTCTAATAAAACTAAAACTGCGCATTTAACCAACACTGCTTAGCCTCTGAGAGACGTCTTACACTATATTTACAACCCTTACTCTAGTGAAAGTGATTGAATGTAACGGTAAAGTTTCTGAGATCGTACTCTTGCATTGAGATTAACTTAAATGGCCAATATCTTAAAATGAAAAGTTACAATAACTATTAATTTGAAATAAACCAATTTCAGTAGATTTTAAATTATATAAATTGTCTTAAGTTTTCCTGTATGAATAATTTTAATAAAACCAAATATTACCAATTTAAATATACTTTGTAATTATTTATTTACAATTTTTTAAATGGTGATTCACACATGAATTTTTGGCCCCAGTCACTAAAACCCTTAGGTTAAGACCTTACCGTGACATCCAAGTAGAGTTTCGCTTAATCCGGTGGCCGATGAAGATTATCACTTTCACTTTCTTTCACACACACAGACTTTTCATCAGAGACAACTTTTGTTTCCTTTACACACACTGGTTTTTCTTCCGATACTGTCTTCTGCACACTTTCTGATTTAGAATTAGTTTTCACATTTATATAGTTTTTAACATCTTTTTCTTTAGCATCTCTCGACTTATCTGTTCTATCCTTAGATTCTTTGTGTTTCTCGTGTCTTCTTTCCGAGCTTCGGTGCCTATGTTCTCTTTCTCTTCTGTCTGATTTATGAGATTTATGCTTTGAGTGTCTTCTATGATGGTCATGAGACCTATCTTTTTCTACTCTATCAGATTTCTCGGACCGCTCTCTTTTGTCTCTTTCAGATCTTTCTGGTTTTTCTCTATCTTTTCTCTCTGATCTGTCTCTTGTTCGGTCACGTTCTGATTTATGATCAGATTTAAAATCTTTCTCTTTCACTTCAAGCTTATCTACAACTTCAGATTTTTCCTTGGCATGGTTAAGTTTGTCGGTTTGATCTCGGTCTAACCTCAACACTGGTTTAACAGAACATGCATTCCCAACCATATTTCTTTCTCGCATTTTCTTTTCTGGAGTTTTCATTTCAACCTTTTCGTATTTAAGGTCAGCAACTTTTTTATCTGTTCTAACATCATTTTTTTCTGTTTTTTCCGTGTTTTTGTCTGCCTTATCGTTCGACCGATCAGTCTTGTCACTTGCTCTTTCCGATTTTTCATTTGATCTTTGTGGTTTTTCACACTTATGTTTATCAGAATCTTTATGTCTGTGCCTTTCCTTTTCAGTCTTTTCGGACCGTTTCTCATTTTTGTCTTTATCTAGGCTTTTTCTACTCTCTGATATCTTTAATTCGGACTTTTCTTTAAATTTTGCACTAAGTGCTCTCATTTCTATTACCCCACTCTTGTGATTGGAGGTTTTACTGGATTCTGGAAACAAAAGACAGTTTTGTAAAAAATTTGAAAAAGTTGTATTTTAGACACATACAAAATATAGGTAACATAAAACTTTTTAAAAATAGAAGTAGCGTCGATAGTTTTTATGTAACTGTAAAGAATTATCTATAAATACCAACCTGAATTATTAACTACTGGTGCATCGGGTGGTAACCTCTCGTCAGCCGGAGAGGAAGCCTCTGATGATGGGTAATACTGCTTAAGACGTAGATGCCAGGCTGTAAACGAATTATGCATATATATATATATATATAACATACATAAAGCATAGTTTAAAGTACGCAAACCCTTAGTGAATTTATCATTTAAAACTAATTTGTAATGAAAAAAGCGTTTAAACGATTTTAAACGGTTGTTTAAAATTATTCAAATCAATATTAATTACACAACTTATATAAATAGAACATAAAGTCATAAGAATTAATTGAAAATGATGTTCTTCTTACCAATAGAAGTAACAGCTGACACAGTCCGGAACTGATGTATAATATTTCTTGGTAAAAAGTAGATATCATCAGAGCTCAGAGGAAGACGGGAATACCTAACTCCCTCTCTTCTTAGTTGGTTGAGTTTCGCTTCTTCTAGCCTGAAAAATATTTTTTACATTACTTCTGCAGTTTAAAGTGAGCGTACCCATCAATTTCTGGCCACGATATGTGTTACTTAACCTCGTGTGAATACTCCTACCAGAATGAGTTGCTTGCTGTATTGCTTGAACAAACTACCATCCATTACATTTATTAATTATTAAAAGCATTATTTAACTTAGTATTAACTAAGCTAGTTAAAAAGACATGCATGTCAATTGCCAACATGAAACATAAACCTGGGTATACTGACTACCAAACACACGCATTGGCAACGCGCGTCCATCAATTTATCGATAGCTGTAAATCTTGCTAAACGTGTACCCATCACATTCCTGATTCCAAGATATGCTTACCCTAACTATACTCACCACGTGACACACTGCGAAATGGGCGGCTCGTACAAATCAAGTTGCAAGAGTTGCACTAATTTGTTGAAGTCTGCCGCGTGAAATGCCACCACGTCCTTCGTTATTCTGCCGCGGTCTTGCTCTTCACCGCAATGGATCGCTTTCAGTACTCCTGCAGATGAAAACATTTTTTTAAATTATATCATTAAATTAAAGTCATGTAGAAATTGCTTCAACTACATACAAGGCAAAGTGGCAGGTAGAAGGAGACCTTGTCTCAGACGCACGTCTTAGTTGAAAAAACTTAGACAATGGTTTGGTCAAAGCACCAAGTCATTGTTTAGAAGCGCGGCATCCAAAATTAAACTAGCCATGAAGACCGTCAACCTTCGCAAGGAGACGGCATAAAAAGATGTAGAAATTGAGCGAGTATGTCTGAACTGTCGAAATTTATTCTAATTATAATTA